TAGCCATTAACAAAACTGCTGGTCCCAATTTTTTTTTTTTTTTTTTTGAGAGGTTTTTCACTACAGGGCGCATGTGCTCGCCAGACAGACAGAGAGAGACAGAGAGACAGAAAGCAAGAAATCACCCCCCAGGGGAGATGGCTACGCCGCAATCCCTTCTCCTCCATGCTCCTCTGGGGATCTTGGGCACGTACGCACACGCGCCCGGCGTGGGTTTTAAGCCACCGGGTCCGGGACACGAACCGCAGTCGACTACATGGGAGTCCAGCGACATAGCCATTACGCTAACTGCTGGTTCCCATGGTCCCAATTCTTAAAAAAAAAAAAAAAATTAAGTCGTTAGAAAAGTGATGATGCATTTTTACACAGAAAAACAGAAAAATACTGGGTAATTTGTAAATGATGTAAATTTATTGTTTACAATTCCGAAAGCTGGGAAGTGCCAGCAGTTGTGACTTTTCCGACGATTCAATAATCGAGACTTTAATGGGATGATACTCCAAGGAAATCAGCAGTTTACAAATGGATAAGTTGTTTCAAGGAGAAAGGAGATGATGTGTAAGATAATGCCTACAGGGGCTGACCATCCACATCAATTTGAGAGGAAAAATATTAATTCCATTTGTGCCCTCATTGAAGAGGACCGACAACAGCAGAAACCATAACCAACACTACAGACCTCTCAGTTGGTTCACTTTACACAATTCTGACTGAAAAATTGAAGATGAGCAGACTTGCCTTTTCTTTCTAAAGAATTCTTTATTTAATTTTATTTATTATTATCATTTTTCAACTTGACCAGAGAGACATACAGAAAGATAGAGAGGGAAAGTGAGAAAGCAAGCTACCAGATCCAGTATTCAAACCATGGTTGGCCATGTGGGAGTCCAGTGCCTTAACCACCATGCCACCTGCCAGCTCCACCTTTTCTTTTTTTCAAAACCTTTCTCTTTTTTTTTTATTTTTTATTTTTAATTTTTTTATTTTTTCATTTCATTTTCTTCCATACATTCAATCACATTATTATTTATCTTACAAAATGGATATTTCAGCAGGTGAATACCTCTCCCCAGCACCGTCGATAAAACCACAAAACATCTTCAACAGATAATACCACTCCTCTTTGTGCCATTAATGCTTTTCCTCCCTGTCTTTCCCCCAAATGTCCTTCCTCAGACCCTCCTCTTTCACACACACTATATCTGGTATTTACATCTATATACTGCATTTCTATATCCTTTTCTTTTTAATTACCAGAGGGTGCTAGAGCAAAAGAGAGGATAGAGAATCTCCCAATGAGGCATGGTCATGCACAATCCTTTTTTCTCCATTTCTCCAAACCATCAGGATCTCAGACATGCACACCTGGGCCAGAACTTGAACTGTGGTTAAACCACCTGGGCCAGAATTTGAACTGTGGTTAAACCCAGCGTCTAGAGCACCGTGCTTAACTACCACACTACAGGGTCAGCTCAAGTTAAACACACCTTCTATTCAATGGGTCCCAAAATTGTTGTACAGTTGTCAGCTGGAGACAAGAGCAGAGCTCTCCATGGAAATTTTAAACAAGTGGATCAAGCTCCTGAAGCAATTGTAATAGGAGGTGACACATGGCCTTATCAGTATAATTCTGAACACAAAACACACTCAAAGCAATGGCATTCGGGAATGAAAGTGGTCCAGTCAAAGCAAAAGCAGACTGGTCAAGAACAAAAATCATGGCAACAGTTCAAGGTATTTTGTTGCTGACTTTCTTAAAAAAAAAAAAAAAAATGCTGAGTGCATGTGCATGTGTGCCCAAAATCCCAGGAGAACAGGGAAGGGATTGTGGTGTGGCCATCCCCTCTGGGGGAGTGCTCTCTCACTTCCTCTTTTTTCTTTGGTGAGCGCATGCAAAAACAAAACAAAAGTTGATTAAAAAAAGGGAAAAAAATCCTTCTAAATTAGTGACTTAGCTAGAAAGAAAGGAAGGAAAATTCCTAGTGTTGAAGCATGAATCCAGAGAAGTAAGCAAGGGCCAAGGCAGATAGAAACCTGAAGAGCTAGATATAGTAACCTGGAGTTTCAAAATGAATGTCTGCATGGGTGGCAGGAGACAAAGAGTGAGAGGCCCATATAAGGCAGGGAGCCAGATCATAATGGCAGCTTCAGGAGGATCACAAACAAAGGTGAGAAAGAAAAAGATTCCAGGAAAAATTCATAACCAGAAGCTTGTCTCTAAGCAGGCTCAGGGCACAAACACACACAGTATTTGTGATCCAAGAAACCTCCAGCTAAGCTGTCTCATTTATAGTAGCCCCAGACTGGAAGGACCTTAGGTACTTGACAGAAACAAACACAGATTCTTTCTGAATACACCCATCAGACCAGACCTGAAAGAATTTTGAGAGATAAAATTCCAGAAACAAAGAGCTCATGGTGTAAAAATCAACAACAAAACAAAGGAAAACAGCACCATGAGTGAGAGCAGAAATAGCAAACAGCAAAATTAGACCTACATGGCATTTAGACACTGGAACAATTGAGACACTATCAAACTGATGTATCAAATATGTTTAACTAAATAGAAGTAGAAAAGATAAACAAGAGAAAGAGACCATCAAAATACCTCCAGAGCTTTTCCATGGGGAATGTCCAAAGCTGTTGCATTCATTTCAAGCCTGATACATGAGGTGAAGACCTGAGCTGGCCTCCTGCAGGGTGGGTGGTGCTGCACATGGCAACAGTGTCTCAGTGTGTTGGTGCAGAGGTACCCATAGTAGGCCACTGTCCAGTCAGAGGAGCAGAGTCATCTCAGATTCCAAATAAAAGGTTTAGTTTGATTCATCTACAAATGTACAATTTGGATACCACAGCATGGGTAGAACCAGCTTCTGCCTTCAGGCAGGGATAGAGTCAGAGAATATGCAGCCCCCTCTCTTTTTGCCTTTAAAAAGAGTAATGTAGACCATCTTTCCTTTAGAAGAGGAATATTTCCTGACAACCTGAGATAAGCCTGAAGAAGTAGACAGAATGCAAAGCACAGTGAAGGCAAGAGGGGGATGATTCCAGGTCCTTACACCAAGAAATATAGACCTGACTCCACCTCAGGATTGCTCTGATTTGAGGTCAGTGAATTGGTAACGTCTTGAAATGAACAGGAGTGGCCAAAGGGCAGGAGAGTGCAATGGCAAACAAGGTCACTTCCTATTCACTCCTGGTCCTCTGACACTTGCTTCTACAGAACCCGACAAGGTCTTCGGCTTCACAGTTTTGCCAACATACAGAACAATATATAAATATTTTTTTGCAACTCCTATCTATATAATTTTTCTACAGATGTCAAAGGCAATCTAATTTACATAAGCATTTTGTTCCTTATGATCTTCTGGGACAGAATTATGCCATTCCTAGTCTCTTGGTTCACCATGGTCAAGGTCTGAAACTCGAGAGTTCATGTGTTAACTTCTGAATCGGCTAATTTACATGGCAGTGGCTATGCCCGGATGTATAGAAGGGATAGGTGTCTTGCCCCCTCGTTGTTAGACAAAATCAACCTGTGG